CACAAAAAATCAAAGTTGAAACATCAGCATTCGGGAAATCAATCTAAGACCAAAGACCTATGACAGAAACCAAAGAGCTAATTCAATCAACGCATTGAATAGAATTTGCTGTTGGAGAAAGTAGCAGTGAAACGACTTACCAGTGAATAAATTGAGGTGGAAATGAAGAGACCTAGTGGAGCTTCTCCATAGATCTACTGGAGCTTCTCCATCGTCTTCTGCTTCTGATAGGACCAGTTCTAATCGCAAATCCCGTGGAGAACGTGCGCCATTAACTTGTTATTTTTATTGAAGCCTATAAAATGAAGACTAAATTAAAATTAAAATACAATATAAAAAGATATTCAAATAAATTTAAAATATTTAAAATTATTTAGATGGGTATTAAATATATAACAATAATCATTTTTATTTGGTTATGAGTAAAATAAATGAAATATAAAACTCAATTTTAATAGTAATCTCTGAGGTCATATGCGCCTTACGAGCAACGAAGATGATCGTGGTGACAAGATACAAATGATTATCAACATCAATAGGTAGTAGACAGATGGTAGCAAGCGACTGCGAAAGTAAAAGCAGAGTTTGCTTGCGATATATTTGAAATTTTACAAAAAAAAAAGAGAGTAAAATTTGAATATATCAAAAAATAAACTACGAAGTTAATTAAAATTTATCAAAAATTTACTTTGCATTCTTTTTTGTCAAACCAATTAACCAAATAACAAATTTCCTAAAACACTTATATTTGAATTTCTATACTCACTTTTCATCAAATAAAACTAGCCCCAAGAGTTTTGTCGACAAACTTTATACTCACTTTTCATGAACCAATAAAGCACTAAGAATTATGTGGCGAAATATTGATAGCACATAGTAAATTAAATATTTGGATATTAAAATTTATAACGGTTTACTAAAAAATAAATGTATTTTGAATTCTTCTAATTTAGATGAATTTTAAGTACGTTGTGTGCATAAAAGCTTCACTTGATCTCGCTCGTCAGCTTTAGCAGTCGTGGCCACCCCTCCTGCCACTCACTGCCAACTACTGCCCATCATTGCCACCTGCCTCTTGCCACTAACTCATCCCAACAAAAAATAATAATAATAATAAAATACTTTGCTAACAATTTCAAATATTTATTCTACATTGCATTTTGAATGCACAAAATTTTCAAAATAGTAGCAATCAATTGACTACTTAACAAAAAATTCTAAAAAAAATAAAACTTAATATTAACTTTAATGATTTAAAGATTTTAACTCAGTATTAAAATAGTATAAATTTTATTTTAATTTGACAACTGAGCCTGTAGAATACTTTAAGAAAATAAATGTTTTTTTTTTCAACAATATTTGGTAGAACTCCATCAAATTCAAATACATTAATTAGTCCAATATCAAAAATAATATTATTTTGAACTCTCAATATAAAAAGACAACTATATATTTCTTGCATGTCATAATATTCATGACATTAGAAACCGAGAGTTTATTATCTTAATATACAATGTTAAGATAAAATAAATAAAAATAATTATTCTACAGGCTTTATAACAAATATGAAAATATTATGACATGCAAATATGAACTTTTTTATGACATAAAAATAACAAATATGAACTTTTTTATTTATTTTAATTAAAAATAAAAATAAATATATATATATATATATATAGCTGCCACACCACGCCGCTGCTGCCTCTGCCTCGGGTCGACGTGTCGGGTCGTGTCAACCCGGCAACCCGCGCAGGTCGGGTCCGGGTTGAGATAATCAACCCGTTTGCAAAAACGAGTCGGGTTTGGGTTGACCCATTTAGAGCCAGGTCAACTCGGGTTCGATCCGAACCCGACCCGTCGACCCGAATTGACACCCCTACTTGTAGGTTGAGATACTTAACTTGATTTAGCATAAATACATCCCTACTTTATTTTAGATATATACAATTTATTTGAAATAGCTGCAGCTTTTTGTAAAGTTGGCTATAAAATTTTTATAATAAAAATAACCTTTTTAAAAGCAAAGCATCTTCCCACCGGAAAAAATATCTTGAAAGCGGTGAGAAATAAAAAAGTGAAACATAATCTATAATTATAGCTTGAAAAATAAAATACTAAAAAAAGCTATTTCAAACAGACCCATATACAACACTCACTTTATTTTTTTTAAAATATTTATGATGAAAATGAATAAGCCTCATCAACAATCACATCGATGAGACTCTTCTAAAACAGAAAGTACTGAAGAAGTTTGAGAGGAGACGTGTTTTCTAATTTCTATTATACAAAGAGAGAGAGTCATACTTTGTAATCAAAACATCTCCGATTAGGAAGGAGGACATATTTGTTTGATATTCATTTAGGGGATGTTTGGTTATCAAAAAAAAAAGAGAATACCGTGTAAATGAATACTTTAAAGTTTTTTTGAACATTTGTAAAATGAATGCATTAGATTGCTTTATTTATTTGATTTGAAGTAAAATGAATATAATATAAAATATAAAAAAAAAATAATGGTCAGTGTCCGGCATTGACAAAGGTGTGGCTAACCGTGGGTAGCCAGCAATATCCGTCAACTATGGATGGTGGGCAGCGGGTGTCCTAACCCATTTCTATAGTCGGGTCGAGTTCGTGTTGAGTCACCTAAGAGCGGGTCAAGTTCAGGTTGGACCCGAACCCGACCCGATAATCCATTTTGACACATGCATCTATTCATTGCAATCTTCTTGAGTATATTTGTAGGGTGGCTGCCAGTGTTATTATTTGCGAGTAGGGCTGCAAACGAACCGAGCTTAGCCGAGTATGTGAGTGTTCATATTTGTGTTCATTTAATATCAATTTGTTCAAGTTTGGTTCATGTTTGTTCGAGATTTATTGTTTGTGTTCATGTTTGATTCATTTAAATTTATGAGTGTTCATGTTATGTTCATGTTCAGTTCATGTTCGTTCGTTTAGTGCTTATCGAGCTTGTTCTCGAACATATTTACCGATTTTTTTTAACTATCAAATAAACACGTTCATGAACATATCTATTAACAAACATATTTATAATAAAAGCAATTGTCTATGTAACAAAGTCAATGATTATTTATATTTATTAATTTTATAGTCAAATATTAATTATTTTTATCGAGCTTATTCACGATTTCAAAATCTAACACGAATCGAGCTTCTTATCGAGCTTAATGTCGAGCTTGTTCACGAACTTCAAATGATGTTGTTCTCGAACATAAATGAGCTGAACGCATTAGTGTTCAAGTTTGTTTATTTAATAATAGATGATTTAAAATATTGTTCAAGTTTGTTTCTTTAGTTAATTAAACGATCACAAACGAGCTTTAATCGAACCGAACAACGAGTAGCTCGTCGAACGTTTGGTTCGCTTGCAGCCCTATTAGGGCTGCAAACGAACCGAGCCCAGCCGAGTATGTGAGTGTTCATGTTTGTGTTCATTTAATATCAGCTTGTTCAAGCTTGGTTCATGTTTGTTCGAGCTTTATTGTTTGTGTTCATGTTTGGTTCATTTAAATTAATGAGTGTTCATGTTCGGTTTATGTTTAGTTCATGTTCGTTCGTTTAATGTTTATTGAGATTGTTCGCGAACATATTTAACAATTTTTTTCTAACTATCAAACAAATGCGTTCATGAACATATTTATGAACAAACACATTTATAATAAAAGCAATTGTCTATATAACAAATGCAATGATTATTTATATTCATTAAGTCTATAGTCAAATATTAATTATTTGTATTGAGCTTATTCACTAGTTCAAAATCGAACACGAATTGAGCTTAATGTCGAGCTTGTTCACGAACTTCAAATGATGTTGTTCGCGGACATAAATGAGCCGAACACATTAGTGCTCAAGTTTGTTTAGTTAAGAATCGAGTATTTAAAATATTGTTCAAGTTTGTTTGTTTAGTTAATTAAACGATCACAAACGAGCTTTACCGAACTTAACAACAAGTAGCTCGTCGAAGGTTTGGTTCGCTTGCAGCCCTAATTATCCTATAAACTCTTCATAGTTTGTTGAAGTCTTGTTATCTTCAAGTCTTCTTGTATGTTTGCATATCGCCTTTCAGCATCCGCGTCCTGTGACCATATCATCTCCTAAGAAAATGCAACGTACTCCAAATCAACTTCCATCTTCATCACCTGTTTCTCATTTTTCTTTTCTAACATGTATACAATTTTATTCAGTAAAATCCTGAAATATGGGGATCTTTCGCAAATTTTTTTTTAAATGGACGACAATTAAATTTGCTGTGCCTGGTTATTGAATCACAATTTATAATATATATATATATATATATATATATAAATTTTAACATTTAATCACATTAAAAAAATTAAGTATTATAGCTTAAATATGTTGCAGTCATGTTATGAATTATGATAGAAATAATATCCATTAAAGTTTCATTTGAGACGACTTTCTTACTGTTTCTTAAAGCAATTTTTTAGTACAAAAAA